CAGTTGAGTGAACATAAGTAGGCAGCTAGAATTCATATATGACTATATGCGAAATGAAAATCACTCAAATGTATATACGTACAAAAAAAAAAAAAAAAAAAAAAAAAAATTAATATATTATATATATATACAAACACAGTGAAATAATCAGTACCTCCAAATCTGCCAACCGCAACTCCAAAATAAGCCAAAAAATTCAGAATTAATGAACAGAAATAAAACTATCATGATTTAAAGCCTCGAACTTAAAATACACTGTCACTTTTATGTAAAATCAACATCGCGTTTCCGCTCGCTGTAAAATAAACGTCCACCTTGGCCAGAGAGAGGTGATTCGCCTGCAATTGTTTTCTCCACGAATTTAAAAGTCAGCGATGGAAGTGGACAATGGACGATGAGGAAGTGCCGTCTTCCAGCACTCAAAGGAGACAAGAAGAGATTTGAGTGAAAACGGTCGAGGCGAGGAAGAGGAATCGATACTAGCCGTGTGGAGATTTTGTTTTGTGTTGCGTAGCTTTTCGGAAAGTTGTATTTTGCTTGGCTACGTCATTTACTATGGCTCTCTACTTTTTACGAAGAGGGTTCCTAAAAATTCTTGAGGGCTTTATGGTATTGCAAGCCCGTAGGAAAGGGTTATTATTTAAAGGGCCATTATATTTCTTTGAATATTTCCTTTCCTTGCCATCTCTATCTAGAACCACATTTGGACGTTGGATTTTGAGGCTGAGTAGGTACCAGTGGCGGAAAGCACCGTTTCCATTTGCAAAGTGTTGTGCAATTGCAGTCCCAACCTTGAAATACCAAGGCTACAGCAGGGAGATAGTTTGTTTCCAGCAGCCATATAGTACAAGATGAAATTTGCCTGGGGTGAGAGTGTGACTGAAAATTAGCCACTTTTCTTGTGTGTATTTCCTCCGCAAGGTGATAGTAAGAAACTTGTGCAACATGTAATACTTTGGTGTACATTTACAGGAAATGTATTGATATTATCATAGAGAAAGAGAAATAACTACACTCTCTGATATTTTTAATTATCTGTGCCTGCATAAAATATAATCAGAAATGAAGAAATAGGTCGCGACAATTGCAGCGCAGAAACTAAATCCTTGGCAATTGGGTGGGAGTCCAGGGGTGGAGGCCCTGATAGGGAGATACAGCGATTGTATGGGGTTCTGGGGCAAATCCCAGGTTAGGAAGGTTTTTGGTTCACAAGGCCATGTTTGTGGATTTCATAGGAATTGCTGGAAAGCCAAGGACTCGATCTCAGAGAGATGCAGTCACTTCGTAAACATTACCATTACTTTTGTTTATATATTTTGCGATGGAATATAACAAAGGATTCGGTCATATTAGTATATTTATTATTAAAAGAATGAATACTAATTGCAAGTTTGGATGGCTTTGTGAAATGGCAAAGTTAGTCCTCAAAGAACTATTTCAATGATTAGTTAAAGCTTAGTGACTTTTTCAAGATCAACAAGCCTATTTTTTTATTAGATACAATATTCTCTGAGAATCACCTGTGTGCAGTAGATATGTAGCAATATCAAGTAAAGTCAATAGTATAATTTGTCTCATGCAGCCATATTGTACAAGGAAAACTGCCTGTAATGGATAGGACAGAAAATAAGGCTATTTGTAGGTTTTGCCATCAAATTATGTAATTATCATTCCTTGTTTCAGTTATTTGAGGTGTAAATTGCATGACTTGTTCTTTCCATCACAAATGAGATTAAAGGAAAGTATTGGTGAGTGTTTATGAAGTAACTGTACCTCCTTCAGACTAATTCCCTATTATTCCAACCACTCCTGGGAATGCACAAACATTGCTGTATGAACCAGATGCCTTCCAAACCCAGGGCTTCACCCACAGACCCCTGCTCTATCACTGTATTTCCCTTTGGGGCTCTACCCCCAGACCCATCTAATAAACTGTGGATTTACTCTCCACAGGGCATTTGTTGTCACCTATTTTCTTCACATGTAACATTATACTTTGCCAATGTAGGTTATTTGTGGGTATGTTCCATAAGTGCTTCCAGACCAATTGTGTTTATTCATTATTTTGTTAATTTAAGCTTTCACCTCCAAGATAAATATTGATATCCTCACTTTAATGGACTGTAATCATGAGATAGAATGCACTAACATGAATACATTGTTTGCTCATTTTAAAAGTGAAGGGTTAAATTGAGAAAACATTTAATAAACTGATGATTTAATAAAATTATCAGTCAATTGGTCTGAGACTCCCTTTGTATGCACATACCTTCATTTCATGTATCAGTGAACAGTTTTTTTTATCCATTAAAGGCAAAGTTTATCTTCTACCATATAGCTGTGTGAAACTAAAAGTAAAGAAAGGAAAGGGGTTCATTCATTTGAGATTTACACTTGGATAGGTAGGACCTGTTGTAAACATTTACCCAGCAATTCTGGAGAAGTTTGATCACCAATGAAAATTAAGTGTCTGTAGATTGTAACTTTAGTCTATGGAAATCAAATATAAGGATGATATTTGCAGTAATTGAATTGGTATTGTATAATTTATTTGAAGCAGCCTCTTTGTCTATTGGCACTTCAGCAAAGAACAATAAACTTCCACTATGTTTATTCTGGCAAGGTAGGATTTGTAGACCTTTTATATGTTGTCACATTTGAAACTCTATTTGAAAGCTCTATCTTGTTACAATATATGTGATGACATGTGTGAGTCATAAACACATTTTGTCATTGATAAATTGAAGAAATCAGAGGTCCCTTTCATTGGTATACATTTGTATACAAATTGTGGTTGATCTATATGTAGACTATTGAAGAAAGTCAAATATATGGTGTGGAAATCACAAGTGAAAAGTAAAGGTTGCACAGTACGTCACCTGGAGATAAAATCCCCATGGAACTCCCATGACTAAATCCAGCCTTCCCTTTCCTCACAGGGAACAACTTTCCTGTGCAGTAATCATGCATAAATTGTCTTTGTGCATGTACATTTTGAAGTCTTGACCAATCATTATCACATGAAAGTGCTTTTAATGTATTTCCATTTCAATTATTATAATGGACTAAGATGTATTTATGAAATGTACAATACACACACACACACACACACACACACACACACACACACACACACACACACACACACACACACACACACACACACACCTATATATACATACAAAAGCCATGCATTACATATTATTATGTAAACATAATTTTATATGGTGATGTAAAGTGATGGTGTGGTAGCCTAGGGAGCGTTAAGTCCTCTGCATGCATTCTCCGCATTCTCACTTGCAGCTGCCACTGCTGGCTAACCTAGTGAGAAAAAGGGAGCAGCTCTGCATAAGCCTCTTCTGCCAGTTCATAGCCTATACATCGTCAAGACTTTTGTAGTGCCACCCAAGGAAACTGGGTACCAATGGCACAGGGCTTGCTTACAGTTTTGACCTGTTGAGGAGCATAGTCATCCCTCTCTGGAAAGGGAAAGGTGATTGATGGGACTGTAGCAACTATTATGACATCACACTGCTCACTATATCAGGGAAGATATTCACCCACATTCTTATAAAAGGGATCTGCACTCACCTACTAAGGCACCAGAGACCGGATTCACTTCTGGCAAGTCCATAGTAGGCTGTATCCTAGCGCTTCAAGTCATTGTGGAACACTGTTGTTAGTTCGGTCATGGGCTGCTTGAAGCATACATTGACCTCTGTACTGCCTCGGATATTTCTGCAATCTGTGCAGCGAGGGATTCTAGCATCACGGCAGGAGTGGCAGGTTCGGCAGACACTGCTATAACAGCGAGTGTAAATGTCTTGGCCGTAATTATCTCATTGGCCTTAAGAGGAATCGGCCGCTACAGTGAAACCTGGACAATATTTAGTGCCTTGGAGTTTTGTCTTGATGCCTTTTGTAACTAGCAGCAGATGATGGGGTACAGTTGACAGAACCATGTTTCCAACTGACAGCTACACTGTGAGACTGGCATGGGACCTTTTATCTGCATAATCCAGGTCCACCAACTCAGGCCATATGGGCACCTAGCTTGTTCCCTGTGGATGACCCTGGATGACCCCGCAAGGAGTTAGAGATGGACCGAGGGTCTACCACGTTACTTGCCTTGAGGGAGCCACATGGTTCCCTCAACAAAGTTTGAAACAAAGTTTGTTGCTGTGCTACTTGTAGTTCCTGAGGGTGAAGCCCCTGGCTCTCAGGAGGGGTTGGAGTTTTCCATTTTTACACTTCCTTTATCATCTTAGATTCTTGGCTAACCTTTTAAAATTCCTGTTATGAGTGATTTTGCTGATGTCCCCCTCACCCTAAATCCCCAGTTCTCCATGAGATCCTTCAAGAGTGTATTTAGCCTGGGGACCATTGTGTGCTTCTCCCTTAAACTCTGATTCCCCTTCTGTCTCTAGTTATTGTAGGGAACAGGAAAAAATAAAGGAAAAACAGAAAATTCCATTTACCCATAATGTAAACATGAAGAGGTAGAATATTAAAATGTAATACTTATTGCAGTTGCCTTTGGCCTTAATCCTTTGCTGATAACCAATTGCCGGATGGGGATTTATGTTTTATCAGCATTCAATCTATACAAAAGGACCACACTAGTTAGGCGAGAAATGTTGATCAAATGAAGGTCTAGGGGCAAAGCCCCCAGGTTAGAAAGGCTTTTAGTTCATGTATTAATATCTTTGTGGTTGTTTTTGTTCATTTCAGATGGGGTTCATTCATAAAAGTTGTGGGACTTAGTCTACAATTGGTGTAGTCTTGTTTAAGCTTTTACCAAGTGGTGTGCATTTGTTTGAAAAAGACCAATATATCATATCTGAACATTCATTTTATAAACCATAATAACCAATGAAAACTATCCTAAACTGTCACACCATAATAGGGCAGGTATGATCACAGGTTTAAATGTATTTTTGGGGTGTTTTGTAATTACAGTCTTAGAAAGATTTTTGTGTGCTCCCATGCAATGGGTCTAAATGCCCCTGAGGTTGTTTTGCCTTGGAGATATGACCATCTGTATCCAGAGATTGGCAGGTTGACAATGAAATATTGGCTAGACTGTTGCTTCAGACATCATGTGTAAACAAAACTTTTTGAAAATGGTATGGGTCATTTATTTAATCTGTGTAACTCTCATGCTCTCCTCTTAATACTCAAAGATTTTTGTAGAAATAATAGCATAAATATATAGATAAATATGATTTGTGCTATTTTATTGATATATACCATATATTACAATAATGCATATTTTTCATTTTCTTTTTCTACTTTCAGTGGAATGCTGTGGCACTGTGGGCCTGGGGTGAGTGTTTGTTATTTTTTGGGAATTCTTTGTTTCCACGTTTTTATTCCTTTAATAATCATCAAAGTCTTTTTTTTTCAGAATCATGATTTAATTGAATAAAAAAATCCCTTTTATGCCATTTCTTGTAACTTTTGTAAGTAGATCTTTGATTTTATATGTGTAAACATGAGTGGTATTGTGATTATAAAAATGCTAATAAAATTCCAAGCAGACTCTAAAGTTTGCATTTGTGTGATTTTGGAGTTTTTGTGGCCATTACTCTGCTCTGATACCACATAATCTTTTTCTCATATCACACAAAGTTACTGATCTTTCACCCTCTTCAAATAATACAGATAACATGCCTTATCAATCCCCTAAAAAGTTACCATAATTCTAGCATCATATCAGTTGTTCCCAACCTTTTTACCCATGACCCCTTTCTCAAATCTCATAATTATTAGGCTAAGAAAAAAAATAGTAGTATAGGCATACTTTTATGTATCAAACTGTAATACATTATTCGTTTTGTCATGTCTGCTTAGTATAATCTTGCATGAATTCTGATGAAAGCCTAGTAAATTGGCCAATACTTTTTCTTTTAAGGTGTTGCTGACCCACTGGTTGGGAACCATTGTACTTGTCCATTTGCTTGTTTATGGTCCATTTACACCTCATGGCAGCCACTGCTTTGATCACTGTTTGCTTTCATGATCAAATTAACAATACCTATTATAAGCCATTGTTTGTTAACCCATTGCCCGCCGGGGATGGCATGTACGTACATGCCATGCCCACTGTGAGTCGACTTGTTCGATTGTTTTTACACATAGATGGCTACACTTGTACTAAGTATCCAATGAGCCAATTACAAGTACTGCCTGTCTCGCCCATTCACCCTTTTCATCGGTTTACGAAAATATTTAACGTTATCCTAATTTGCTGTTAAAAATAACACCATCTATATTTATAGCACTAGTAAAAATACGTTTTTTCCCGCCAATTCAAGGGAAGACAAAATCAGGACTAGCAGAGCCTTCTATGGACAGAGATATTTCACAAAAATATTAAAAATGAGTACTGCATTTCCCCCATTTTTTGTTCATTTTCCCCGGCGGCAATGGGTTAATCTTAAGAATTTATGTTTCAATGGATAAAGATTATTATTGATGAATTGGCTCTCCTCATCAACTGATTAGGGTGCAATGGTTTTGGGACCCTTGAAGCAAAGTTTGTATAGGCCTTTTCTATGCTATGCATTAATATATTAAATCTTTATGCTATCCTTTTTACCATAACTCAACAGTCATCATCCATTTTCAAAACTTGCTCAACAATTTTTTCACTTTAGTAGGCTTCCGTCATAAGAGTTGTTGCACTCATCATTAGCAACATGTCTTATTAAACTTTTTTCAAATATATAATTGAGGCATACACCTCAGTTTTTTAAAATTCATGCTGTTAAGTGGGTGAGTGGGTGCTTCATGTTCAGGGTGATGCTAAGTGATGGTGTGGTTTGCATGCCTTCTCACTTGCAGCTGCCACTGCTGGCTAGCCTGGTGCAAAAAGGGAGCAGCTGTACATAAGTCTCCCCTGCCAGCTCTGCCTGCCTCTCCATCATCAAGATCTCTGCAGTACCTCCTCGTGGCCACCCATGGAAACTAGGTACCTTGTGGTCCTAGGCAGAACTTTACAGGCTCTTGAAGCAGCAGGAAACCTTAAAGGTACAGAGTTATGGCCCTCTGGCATGTGGACATGCCATGCCCCATTACCCCCTGGGGTTAATGGATGGCTGTGGGGAAGTGGGCTTTGCCAGTCTGCCTCCCTAAGAGAACCTCAGCAAATTCAGATATAGATGGTGCTGGGAGAAGGGCAAATTTCCCTCTTACCCAGTAAGTAAGGCAGGCTGCAGGTCCCTCTGGTTTGGTGACCGCTGGGACTCAATCTGGGGACTGGAGTTACCCGTCCTATCTGCATCCTGGCGGCTGCCAGCCTGGCTTGTGGGGCAAAGCCCACGGGACCCCCACATGTGGATTAAGGGACCTGCAGCCAGCCAGCCCTCACTATAAGGGGCAACGTCTGTGGGGCTGTCAGAGTGGTGGCTTGGAACGTCCGCTCTTTGCAACAGGATGATCAGCTACCACTACTGTCGAGGGAGCTGAAGCAGTTGATAGTTGAGGTGGCTGCTCTTTTGGAGGTGAGAAGACCTGGCAGTGGCATGGTTAGCATGGGTGGCTGCACTTATTGCTGGGCCGCAGGGATTGTCACCATCTCCAGGGAGTAGCCTTAGCCATCTCCAGCAGACTTCAACCCTGAGTCACTCCAGTTGATGAGCATTTAATGTTTTTTAGACTGAAGCTTATGGACATAATGGGGACCGAGAGGCTGTTCAGAAGTCAATTAGACTGTATGTCGAAAGTCGGGTCTCCATAGCCTTTTTCCCCATTGTTTTAAAGTTTTGTTTACATTAGGAATACCTGTGCATAAATCCCAATAAGTTCGACATACCGTATACAATACCTGTAATATGTAATGCTTTTAACATTATTTGATGGTGATTCATACAACTTTAATGTAGAAACATAATTTATTCAAAAAGAAAATATATTGTAGTAGTGACTGGCAAATAAAAAACTCAGTTCGGTACATCAGGCCGAATTACTGGCTCGCCGCGCTTTGGCGCGCCGCCGCGGCATACAGCCACACGCCACTTTTTGAGCGGTTTCTTAAAATTATTTGATGGTGATTCATGCAACTTTAAATGTAGAAACATAATTTATTCAAAAAGAAAATATATTGTAGTGGCGTCTGGCTGGCGAACCGTGAACTCGTGAACTATATTCGTGCCCAGGAAATTTGAAGTTTGCTAGCATCTCTCAAGAAATTTTTTGGACTTTAGTATTAAAAAAAAAAAGATTGTATGTACGGAATGTGCGTAAGTAGAATGTTCTTAAGTAGGGGACTATCTGTACTTGGCTTCATGTGTCTTGTTGCTGTGTACGGTTGATGTGAAAGATGTTTTATGCCCTACTTGCATCTGTGACAGACAGCTGTCTTCGGTGAGATATATGTATTGCTCTGGGTGACTTCAATCCAGTATCTGGCTGTGACTGAGATGTCTGTCGGTCCTCATGACTCAGGAGCTGATGCTAGCAGTGAGAATAGCCTCCTTTTCCAGAACTTTGCCAGGTCCCAGAAATTGAGGATTTCTGGCTCTTGGTATCAGCGTTCTGTCCCACATTGTTGGGCTTGGTACAGTGATATGGGCAATGTGGCCAAGGAGATCAATCACATCCTTGTTAGTACTCGCTGGAGGATCCTCCAAAACTGCAGTGTGTATCGGAGTGCTGAGTTCAGTGGAATAAATTGGTTGTGGCTACTCTTTGGGTCCACTTTAGAACTTTTGTTCATTCCAATGAACACCCTAGAGTGTTTCATGTGGACAGATTGAAGGAGGGTGAGTGTGCCTGGGTGTTTGCTGAAGCTATCTCTGGTCATTTCACAGCACTTGGAGGTCTGACCGGCCCTGTTCTTCTGTGAGACACCTTCAAGCAAGAAACTCAATGCAGCCAAAGAATCGATTGCCAAATGCCCAAGAGCAAGACAGATTTCCATCTCACAGGAGACACTGGAAGCCACAGATGCTTGTAACACTGCTCAACTTTCAGGGGATCACAACTTGCATCATTCCTTGGTGTGCAGGACTAGGTCACTGCTGAGTAAGGACAAGTAAAAGTTTATCAGGAATCTTGCAGAGGAGGTCAAAAGTATTTTGAGCACTTGTACCAGGTTAATCCACCAACAATTAACTTGGATTTTGGGAGTGTCAAGATTCCTTTGCCAGACCCACCCATCAGCAAGGAACCACCCTCCCTGATCTCCAAGCTGAAGACTGGTAAAGCTACAGTGCATCATGAATCACTGGAAAATCCTGAGACTAAGAGGAATTCCAGCAAGGATTATTGGAATAATAGCAAGCCTATATACCGGTACTGAAAGTGCTGTAAAAGTGTGGTGGGGGCCTGTCTAGCTTCTTCCCTGTTAGTTCAGGAGTGAGGCAAGGCTGTGTTCTTGCACAAACACTTTTCAACACTTGCATGGACTGGATACTGGATTTAGCAATGAAGCGAAGCCTCTGGGGCTAGAGGTCTCCTGGACCAAGACCAAGATCCAGGACTTTGGGGGCCTGCTAGGAGATCCTGTTCAGTTGGTACATGCTCGCACCGAGAACAACAAGGTCTCGAAGAGTTTCATATACCTCAGAAGTGCAGTTCATGTCTCCGGGCTGTCAGACCTGGAAGTCAGTAGACATGTTGGCCTGGTAGCAGGGGCCATGAAATCTCTTGACAAGAGTATTTGGAGATGCCAGTACCTGTCTTCCAGGCCCTAATATTGTAGTGAAACCTGGACGCTGTCTTGTGCTTTGGAATCTTGTCTTGATGCCTTTTGTAACAGATCCTTCCACTGGATCATGGGTTACAGTTGGTGGGACCATGTGTCCAACCAACAGAGAATAATACAGGACCTGTTACTTGCACAATCTGCGATCACCAACTCAGGCTATACGGCCACCAGGCTCATTTCCCACAGGATGATCCTGCCCACCAGGTTGTCTCTGTTTGAGAGGAGGCCTCTGGGATGACCTTGGAAGTAGTGGCTTGTGCAGATCAATTGAACCTGCCTTGAAAAGCTAGAATTGGATTTGGCCCCTGCCTAGCAGCTCACCATGAGGGACCCGTGTAGGTGGAAACGAAGGGTGGATGTAGCTATTCACTACCCAATGATGAATGATGATGATAAGTGATATTTTAACCCCTTGATCCCGAGAGAATATTCTTTTGCATGTCTATAATTCTCTATCTTGTACATACATACATATATATTTCATATATCATAGATCAGACACACACACACAAAAGCACCTGCAGTAGAGAAAAGGACAAATGATGGTTTGCTGATGAATGACTCATGAACCTGTATAAAAAATATATAAAAGTAAAGTAATGTAGGTATCTGGTCATTAGAATATTCACACTGTAACTCTTTGATAAGTTAGTAAGGTAGTGAACAATTTTTAACAAAATCATTTTTCTTTGCAGATATTGTAGTGGACAATTGTGCCATCTGCCGAAACCATATTATGGACTTGTGCATTGAGTGTCAAGCAAACCAAGCTTCTGTTACTTCAGAGGAATGCACTGTTGCTTGGGGAGTTTGCAATGTAAGTATTTTAAAATGTGCACCATATAATTTTCATATTGGTATAGAATAAATTCAGCCTATATGATTTTGAATTAATTTTCCATAGTTTACAATTATTTTTATATAATGATTTTACATCATATTTTTAATACCCTGTTGTTTGCAGCATGCTTTCCATTTCCATTGCATTTCCCGATGGTTAAAAACACGTCAAGTGTGCCCACTAGATAACAGGGAATGGGAGTTCCAGAAGTGAGTTGAATGAGAATCTTTGTGTTAATAACAAATTCCCTATATGACTTGTAAGCCAAGTTGATATATACTGTGATATTAATATATAGGGCCTCAACTTTTTAAATTCCATTTTCATGGTGTGATTATTTCTATAGAATTTGCTTTATTATCAAAATCTTTGTAATTTTCAATATTATTATTTACTTTTTATTACCTCTTTCATTTAGTGAATTAACAAATCTATAGATGTCTTTAATGTTACATAAATTAATTTTTCTCTCTCTTTCACAGGTATGGCCACTGAAAATTTGTTCAATATAGAATTTCAACATTACTTTTACTTTTTCCACTTTTTTTCAATGGCAGTTTAAAACCTCAAGTTCTTCTACACCATTTTTCAGCTGATCCTGTTTTCACTTGCAATATTTTTTTTTTTTTTTCTGTAATCATAATTTTTCTTCAACATGTCACATGTGATAAAACTTACAAATAAACATTAGTGTTTTTATTGCTTGTCTCTTTCTCTTCATACAAGAACTGTAGAAAGTTGCATAAGATATATTGGAATGTTTATAACAAATTGTTTGATTAAATTACAAACCAAAGAAGAATTAGTGGCATTTAATAATTTTAAGAAAGTTTTGTAATATGGTTGAAGGTGCAAGTCATAGATGTCATTTGTATATATTATGTATTTTATATTTTCTTTAATCACTTTTAGTACCATAGTTAAACAAAGATCAGAGCAATTTAAAAATCCAGCCATCCTTATGGTGGACAATAAAGGAAAAAACAAAGTTAAAGAAATTTTTGGCATTACTCAAGGTATTTGGGTCTCAGGGCTGAGGACTCCATATTACAACCTCCCCAATCTCTTACCCATTGTTGTTGTGGGGAAGTAAGGAGACCAATGTGGGGGATCACCCCTACCGTGGACCTCAGCCCTCAACCCAACTAATTTGGCTTGGTTCTTTTCTTTTTCCTTCCATTCTTCATCCTCTTCTGTCCACTTCCTAAAAGGATGAAAGGATGAAAGGCTAGCTTTGTATCAGTCCTGAAGAGCCTTCAGGCGCCATGGGCATGGTATTCCCTTGGTTAACCCAATGCTGACGGGGAAAATGAATAAAATATGGGGAAAATGCTGTGCTCATTTTTTATATTTTTTGTGAATGTCTTTGCACATAGATGGCTCTGCTAGTGCTTAGCCATATAGGAGTCAATTAGTAGACCTTGTGACCTTACCTGATTTGAATTGGCGGGAAAAATGTATTTTTTACTAGTACTATGAATACCAATGTTGTCATTTTTATTATAAACATTATAATTACTATAATGTTTTAAACAGTATTAACAGCAAAATAAGATAATGCAAAATATTTTCCTAAATCAATGAAAAGGGTAAACGGGTGAGACGAGCAGTACTCATAACTGGCTCATTGGTGACTTGGTACAAGTGTAGCCATCTATGTGTTAAAACAATCAAACAATTAGCTCACAGTGGGCATAGCATGTACGTACATGTCATACCCTTTACTGGGACCCTGAATAGACTTTCTCTTCCCCACATATTTCATACTTGCCATGGCCTATAATGAAGATTTTTTATCTTTATTAGGGGCATCAAGGTAATCAAATAGCCCATCTAAATTTAACTTCCAGTGTTTCCCGACCTCTGCCCTCTCCTCTAACCTTATCTCTGACCATTGATACTGGTCCCCCCTCGAAGTTTGCTGTCAACTTTATCCACCTTCAGTTTCATCCAGGTCCCAAGCTCATGCATTATCAACCCTGACTAACAACACTGGCAAACCTATTCCAGACCAACCTCACTCCTCCCAAAATACCATCTCCTTGACTGCTTGCCTTGTCTACAACAAGGATTGGTCAGACCGACTTATTTATTGGAAATTTTCAGCTGCATTAACATCTACCAGCGGCATAAACAAAATATAGCAAAATATAGGGTCAGGCTTGGGGCAAAGCCCCCAGGTAAAGTATTTTGGTTCAAATAAAGCAATGTTGGTGGATTTCCAGAATGATCAATGGTCAATTCAAACAAATGTACCAGACATCAATGGTTACACTATTACGGTAGAGTATTGTGGCAGAAAGGGGTAAATATGGGTTAATGATTTTGATAATTGGACAGAAAGGGATAATGGTAAATGGTTAAAAGCAAGATAAATGTGCTAGACATCTAAGGTCATGTAGCACTATAGTTAATGTTAGTGAAGGGTGGTTGAGTTACTGATTAGTTGTCTAAGCTGGGCAAAGGAATTGGCGAGTGAAAGGGTTAAGGTCAGGTGTGGTATGGAGTTAGATTAGGTAAAGGATATGTATGCGTTTGAGGAAAGAGAACAGGTTGTTGAAGCAGAAAGTGTGGGATACTGTAAGGATGTCTGATAGGTTGGGAGGTCAGTGAAGGGAGGATAGGTGGGGGGAAAGCAGAGGTACGGGTTGCTTCAAAACGTGGGCATGACAATAGGATGTGTGGGATTGAAAGGGGATCATTACATAAAGAACATAGGGGTGGATCAGATTGTGACATCATATAAGAGTGTGTTAGATGGGTGTGGCCAATGCGTAAGTGGGCGAGAGTGGTCTCCCAACGTTTGTTCCGATGAAATGGAGCTGACCAGGAGGAGATTGATGGTTTTACAGAATGTAATTTATTAGTGCGGAGACTTTACTAAAAAGATTGCCATCGATTATACAAGAAGGTCTTAAAGTGTGGGTAATAATCCGTGGCTGGGATACGTGAGAAGCGTGGTTGGTATGATGTGGACATAGCGGCGCGGTGTGCTAGTGTATCTGCCTGTTCATTGCCAGGGATTCCAACATGGCTGGGCACCCAGCAAAATTTGATTGTTTTATGGCGTGTGGACAGGTAGAACAACCAGTTCTGGATCTTACAAACAAAGGTGTTGGTGGTGTGTATTGACTTTATGACAGTTAATGAGTTACGGGAGTCAGTAAAAATTGTAAAAGAGGAAGAGGAGAGTGAGTATATGTGTTTTAGGGCAAAAAGGAGTGCATACAGTTCTGTAGTAAGGACACTGGATTCAGGAGGAAGGGAGTATTTGAAAGTACGAGTTGGGAAGATTACTGCAAAACCTGTGCCGGAGGTGGATTTGGAGTCATCAGTATAATCGTGAATACTAGAGGAATGAGTGGAGACATGTTCAAGGAAATGGGTGAGAAGGACAGCAGGAGGAATATTTGATTTTGGTGGGTCAGGGAAAACAGAAGAGCAAATATGGGGGTGGGGTATAAGCCATGGGGGGACGGAATGAACAGAGAACGGGAGAGGTTGGAGATGGGGGGGAAAGGGGAATGGGAAAGGAGGGTATCCATGCGAGTAGAGAAAGGAGTAGGTAAACGTGGAGATGAAACTAAGGTAGGAAGTAGGGATTGTGGGATAGTTAGTTTAGTGAGGGAAAGTTGGTGGAATCGAACATAACATCGGAGAGAGAGAAGGGCAGGACGTCGAGATAGAGATGGTATGCCTGATTCAGTGTACAGGCTCTCAACTGGAGAGGAGCGGAAGGCACCTAGTGCTAAGCAAAGACCACAGTGATAGATTGTATCAAAATGGGCAAGGAGAGAAGTTGAGGCAGAGGAGTAGATGTGGCATCCATATTCAAGAGTGGAGAGGATCAAAGTAACATGAAGATGAAGGAGAGTTTTGCGATCTGAGCCCCATGATATATAGGATAGAGTTTTTAAGATTCGAAGGCGGTGGAGAGCTTTTTCTTTAATGTACAGAATATGGTCTTGCCAGGACAGTTTGGAGTCAAAAATGACACCTAGGAATTTGCCAGAGGAACGGCATTGGAGTGGAGTGCCATTTAAGAAGAGTGGGGGTAGGGGACCTACACGTGAGCGAGAGAAAAGGATGGAGAAAGATTTAGAGGTAGAAAAGCGGAAGCCATGGTTTGTGGTCCAGAAAGATACTGATGAGATTGCAGATTGAAGAAATTGGTAGAGATTTGGTTTGGATGTGCCAGAGGCATAGATGGTTAAATCATCAACATATAGTGATGACCGGGCTCCTGGTGGTAAAACTGAGACAATATCATTAACAGCAAGAAGGAATAAAGTGGTACTGAGCACACTGCCTTGTGGGACACCTTCGAATTGAGGAAAGAAAGATGATGTGGCAGAGGCAATTTTGACCTGAAAAGTGCATTGAGAGAGGAGGGACTTTATGAAGACTCCCATGTTTCCACGTATGCCTAGAGAGGACAATTGTTGGAGAATATGGTACCGCCATGTCGTATCATATGCTTTTTCTAGATAAAAAAATATAGCTAGTACTGATTCATGGCGTGCAAATGCAGATGTAATATATGTCTCAAAATGAGCAAGGGGGTCAGCTGTGCTTCTGGCACGGCGATAACCAAATTGGGAAGGAGAGAGAAGATTGTGAGATTCAAGATACCACATTAAGCAGAAGTTCACCATTCGCTCTAATAGTTTGCACAAGCAGCTAGTTAGTGCGATGGGGCGATAGTCTTGAGGGAGAGTACCCGATTTATTGGGTTTTAGGAAGGGAAGGATAAGTGCTTCTCGCCAATTAGAAGGAAAATTTCCTGATGTCCATATGTGGTTGTAAATTTTTAATAGGAAGGATAAGGAGGAAGATGGGAGTTGCCGGAGCATACGGTAGTGAATACCGTCAGGACCTTCATGAGTGTTGCGGCAGGATTGTAGGGCAGCATTGAGTTCAGAGGAAGAAAATGGAGCATTATAGGACTCAGCGGAGGATGGGGTGAAGGTAATGGGGGTGCGTTCTCTGATGGTCTTAATAGAAGAGAAGTGTGGAGAAAGGTGAGAACCACTACTGACCTGGCTGAAATATTCACCCAGTTCATTAGCGACTTGGAGAGGTTCAGAAATGAGGGTATCTCGAATATGGTGGATGGGGGCAGGATGGGGGGATGTTTGCCTGATAGTTTATGGATTCGGCGCCAAACATTTGAGATAGATGTAGAGGATGTAATTGATGAAACATAATTTCGCCAGCTATTTTTTTTACTATTCCGGATTGTACGACGAAGACAGGCAGATGCTCTTTTAAAGGAGATAAGGGCTGATAGTTGATTTATAGTACCTCTCTTGTAGCGGTAACTGTTCCAGGCTGCACATTTTAAGCGAAGTGCTTTAGTGCAATCAGAATTCCACCATGGAACACATTTAGAGGTATATGGTCTTGAGGTTCGAGGGATAGCTGTATGTGCAGCTCTTAGGACTGTAGTTGTGAAACACTGTATCATTTCTGAAATGGAGGAGAGGGAGGTTGATGGGGTATGAATAGCAGAGAGTGAAGTGAAAGTATGCCAGTCAGCTCTATCAAAGCACCAGCGTGGGGAGTTAGGAAATGGTACATATGAAGTAGGAGAAAGGAGAACTGGAAAGTGGTCACTATAGGGAAAGTGGTCTAAGACTGACCAGTGGAAATCTATATGAAGAGAAGGGGAGCATAGAGAGAGGTTAATGCATGAAAAA